TCACAAACAAGTCTACACCTCATCCGACTCCATCGGCACAGGGATCTTCCTCCTCAACCGAGCCTGAATCTCTGCAAAGTCGTCCTCGTTCTCGGCCGTGATCTCGCCATGCCTCACCAGGAAGTCGATCAGCACTGGACACACATTCGGTTTGAACTCGCCGGCTAGCATCCGCTTCACGACCTCGCCGCACTCCATCAGCACAAACTCCTCAACTTCGTCATCCCCCGGTTTCGGGACCACGCCGTCCGGGATCTCGAGGTCATAGACGTAAAGAATATCCGAGTGGTGAAGTCCCGAGCGTTCGTTGATGTTGGCCAATGTTACAGCGTCGGCGGCTTGGACTTTGGATGAGACGAGGTCCACGGGGAGACAGGCTTCCTCTACAGACTCGGCGAGGATGCACTCGAGGGGCGTGTTACTGGCCTTGATACCGCCCGCGACGGTGCTATCGAGAAGGCCTGGGTAACTAAAGAGATGACGGCTTCGTCGCGCAACCCAAATCTTGATCTTACCATCCGTACCACGAGCATAACCCGTCATGTGTGCGCCACGAGTAGCGATACCAAACAACGGCGCCGCAAAACGCTCAATCTGAACAAAACTCCTAGCACCGACAACAAGAAAAGGCTCGCTGTGCTCCTGGTGCAGAATAGGAAACAGGTCGCCGTCGATAGCTCCGTCCACGGCCTTTTGAAACGCGGCGTTGGCATGCGTCGTGAGTGTTTCTCCAGGAGGAGGCGCCGACAGCGTCACGGAGCGGTCGTCGTGGCTGATGGTAAAGTCTGCGGGCCAAGGCATGCGCGAGACGGTGTCGGGGAGGATGTAACCATGAGGACGAGGATCCGGGGCGAGATAGAGGCGGTAGTAAGGATGGTGATCTGTCTCAAAGTTCAACGGGGCACTGCATATGTGTCAGTTGCGGGCTTTGAAGGGGGTTGGGGGAGCTTACTTGTCGATTTGGGTGACGAGGTCGAGAAGCTTGGTCATGATGGTGGGGGAGGGGTAAGACGGGTTGGAAATGTCCGATTGTTGACTCAAAAAGAGGGAGAAAGCGAAATACGAGTAGTAGATCAGATCTAGTGAGTCACCCACTATATCACAGGGTGTGGAGTTGTCAGACAGCTGTTGATAGCCTTGCAGAAGAAACACCAGCCAAGATGGCATGTACTAAGAGAGGTTGTCATGATAGCTCAGCGGTGAGAACAGGCCTTGAAATAAGCCGGTCAAATGTTACTACAAGAATTGAAATTCGATTATTTTACAATCGAAATCCAGCAGCCACCTGTCAGTGCCAAGCCCAGGAGTCGAGCTTCACAAAGAATCGTGGCTTGCCATGATATTGGTTGCTTCTGTTGTACAGTGTCATCTCTCCACTTTCGCCTCGATCATATCCTCAATCATATAAGAGTGTATTACTGCCCTCGCAAAAGTTCCACTAAATCTTTTAATACCAAGAGCTCTCATAGACTACCTATTCACACTCTTCAGGATCTTCTTCCTCAACCATACTCCTCCACCACATCAACTTCACCGAAACACCAACATGGAGAAGCTCAGCTCCATCCTACAAGAGCACGTCGCCCAAGGGCAAGACACTACCAACAAACTCCTTGGAGCTGCGTTTGTCGTTGTGAATGCAAAAGGTCTCACCAAGCCATATCTCTTTACATCACACACTGACGATGTATCGTAGATGTCCTCTTCTCTGGCTCTTCAGGGCGCATCAACTTTGACCCAGACTCAAGACTGTTCAGTACCGATACCTTCACCTGGATGGCTTCCATGACCAAGATCATCACCATCACTTGTTTCATGCAGCTCGTTGAGCGTGGAGAGATAGACCTGGACGATGATGTTCGTCCTCGTATTCCAGAGCTCGCCAAGATGCAAATCCTCCGTGGGTTTGACGACAACGACAAGCCTATTCTCGAGGACAACACGAATCCCATAACACTTCGGTATGTCTCCATACTCAACATGTAATAGAGTTCCTCGGTGCTGATCTAATAGCCACCTTCTTACCCACACCCTCGGCCTTGGTTCTGACCTCGCAGATCCAGATCTCATGAAGTGGTCCAAAGCTGTCGGCCGCACTGATACCATCCTCTCCTGGAACCGCGAAGGCATCAACACACCGCTCAAGTTTGCGCCCGGCGAGGGCTGGTATTACGGCGCCGCGACGGACTGGGCCGGCGTCCTCCTCGAGGAGATCACAGGCGAGACACTAGGTACCTACACACAGAAGAACATCTTCGAGCCACTTGGTATCAAGGACACAGGATTCTGGCCTGAGAAGCTTCCCCAGACGGCCGACCGCACTGCCGTATGCACATACCGCGAGGGGGAGACGCTCAAGCCCGGTCCTCTGCCTCCACCCAAAGAACACATCCTCGAAAGTGCCGGTGCAGGGCTATACTCGACAGCAAAAGACTACACCACCTTCTTCCAGGGGTTACTACAGGGGAAACTTGTCAAGGAGGAGACTTTGCAGGAGATGTTTTCTCCACAACTCAACGAGACGCAGGCCGGCATTCTAGAGATGATTGCGTACAACATTGGCGGCCAAGATGCTTTTGCTCCTGAATACCCCAAGGGAGCAAAGCTCAACCATGGGATCGGAGGTGTCATAAATGTGGAGGATGTGCCTGGGAAGAGACGTAAGGGGAGTTTGATGTGGAGTGGCATGTGCAACAGCAGATGGGTGAGTTGGGCCCAGCCCCTTGTCATGATGTGAAGAACGTGCTAACTGTTGTCGTCGCAGTGGATTGACAGAGAGACTGGTATTGCAGCAGCTTTGATAGTCAACGTGCAGCCACATGGTGATCCGGTCGCCAAGAGCCTGTACAACGAGCTCGAGCTGGAAGTTTATCGATGTTTGGGCATACAGTAAAGGATAGCTAGCAGAGAACCTGTTGTTTTCCATTCATGAATGCCAACACTGTCTACTCATACTCATCTCCAAACAACTCATCCGCATTCATAGCCTCCAAAGTATTCTCCAAAACACGTCTACACCTCGCCCGATAATCCAGCACCAACTGCTGATTCCTCGTGAGATCCCCTCCGCCGATAACCTCCACATCCGTCTCGAGCAGCCTCTCCAGCTCCTGCATCACCTTGTGCTGAATAATAGCTGCCGTCTGCTGAAGAAACATTTTGCCCTCTTCGATAATGTCGCCGCTGAAGAAGCGTTCTCGCTGGGCTTGTTCGGCTGCTTCGCCTTGAAGAGTGGCGTCGACAGGGACGAGAACTGCACGCTGTTCCGGGGTTGCTATCGTGCAGAAAATATCCCAGACCATGTCATGCTGCACATGCTGAAACGCTCCAATCACCGTGGTAGACTCGCTCAACTGGATAGCCTGCTTCGACCGCGCGAGGAGAGAACTAGGATGTCGAATCGGTCGTAGAGAGATGTAGTACTCCTCAGTAGCCGCAGCCTCAGCAGCCTGTCTCTTCCGCACATGAACATAGTCATTATGCAACTCTTCCAACTCGGGAAGCATGAAGCCGTAACCAAGGAGCAGCTCTGCGTTGGTCTTCATGCTGTAGTTGTTGAACACTTGTTCTCCGGCTTCGTACGCCTTGGAAACCTTGAGGCTGCAGTGCTTCTTCTCTTCATCGAGCTCCCATCGTACTTCGGTTCTCATGTCGTGATTTCCCACGTCGAACAGTGGCATGAGGACGGAAAAGTCGTCAATCTTGACACCCTCGGGGAGACGTTTCTGATCTTCTGGTCCGAGAACGAGACTCGGACGGAAACTCCTGCTGGAAAAGATGCTGTACGCCCACTGATAGAGACCCAAAGTAAACCCTTTTCTCAGCTCTGGTTCCCAGTCTTCAGCCGTGAGAGCATCAAGAGCAGCCTTGAAGTCACGCTTCACATCAGCCTTGATGCGCCCAACACCAACCTCAATGTTGGTCCCCTCAAACAGCTCCGCATCGTCATCAGGCCAAAAAGGCGGCAGTGACCAAGAATCCTGATCCTCCGGCTGCGGGAGAGCACGGATATAAGGACTCCAGAACGACTCGTCCCCAAGGAGATAATGCTTCACGAGGACCAAACGGCCGATGACGTGCGGAGGCGTCTGCGCCAGAAAGCCAGCAGGAAAAAGCCGAGGGTCGCCACTCCCCGGGAGAGCATTGAGATAGGACAGCGTTAGGCTAGAGGGGATGCTGACGATCGTGTCGAGAGGGTTCGTCTTGGAGGTTGCGCAGAATGAGAGGCCGGTTTCGGGGAAGTTGTCGACCTTGACCGAGGGGTTCAGATGGGCGCCGTGAGATGTCGCCCATGAGACAAGGTCCGAGATGCGCTGGGAAGAAGCCATTTTATGCGCAGCGTAACAGACAGAGATGGAGTGGTGGGTTTGAAATGGTTTGAGTTGGTTGTGAGGCTCCAAGAAAAATGAGGCACCCACAATGAGGTCAAGATCATCTGAAAGTGGACAATAGTTTCAAAATGTTCAACCATGTCCAGAAATAACGGTTAAACCTCAACGTAATAAAATCAGACGCTCAAAAAACATGAATATTTCCTTCACGTTTCCCAATAATTCCTGCTATTTTGTGGTTTCTCTTGACACTGTCAATGATGCCGCACACGGGTGGGGGAAAGAAAAAGAATCATCAGCACGACAAGCCCTTTAGCTTATCCTCTTCTAAAGATCATTAATTAATGGAAGATACAATAAACAAAGGCAAAAGAGATCTAAAATACTACCTTGGTTATGATACACTTTTGGTTACTTCATATAAATTCAATCATTATACCTGGAAGGACTTAGGTAACCCTCTTAACCCTTCGATTCTTTCTCAACAGTGTGCGGTATACTGTCCCACATGTCGACTTGGAAGATCTTCACTAACGGCAACTTCAGGGGTATAAATCACAAAACTATTCATTTGTTCCATATTGCTACTGGATCTCCTTGAACCTAGAGTCCCTCGCTGCTCACTTATGAGGCCAAACCAAACCCGTATCCCCCCAAATCACAACCCAACTAGAAGTCGGAATCATCCGACTCGGCGTAGTGCATTTGACGCTGGCGAACGACCTCGGGGTCGACATTCTTCGCCTTGGTCGAGGTCAACACTGGCTGCTTCTTCATCTCAGACTGAGGAATTCGGAGCTGCATCAGTTAGTTAGTTACCAAGGCAGCCAAAACTTGTCGGTCAGGTATCTTACCTCGCTGGATTTGGGCCATTTGCTGTTCCCTCCTCGAGTGGCCGGCTCCGCCTCGAGGGCGTTGGGCACATCGCTCCAATCGCCGATGAGGTTGGGGTTGCTGTTGCTGTACTCGCTCTTGTCGGCCGAAGACAGGGCAGATGCGCCGCTGCTAGACATGACGGTCGGGTTCTTGATAGCTTGATGCTTCTTGCCAGCAGGGTCCCAAGCATTGTACTGAACCTGGCGTGCTTTGGCCGTCTCCTCTCGGTCCTTACGAACGGTACTGGCAGTTGAAATGCTTCCAGGGCCCCGGAGGTGAGGTGGCAGCTCGTTGTGCTGCTTCAGGTTGGATGTCGCAACGGAGCTCACAACAGAGTTCGCTTTGGTCGAGACCTTGCTTGCCAGGTGAGGAGGAAGTCGGGTGATGGTCGACATTGCATCGTCAGCGACGCTGGCTGTGTCCGCGCCGACACGAGAGTGCGAGGAAGTCGAGCCGTCACGGGTGAGCACCTCGGAGAGGATCTGGTTGGCCCGGGTGCCTTCAGCGGTGCTCTCCAATTCAGTCAGGCCAAGGCCTTCGAGTCCGGTAACGGGGGCTCGTGGAAGGTCAGAGTCGCCAAAGAAGTCGGCGTTGGCAAAGTCGCGAGCCCAGACACCTTCGTTTTCCTCCTCGACGGAGACGTGACCCGTCTCCAAGGGCGAAGGCGTGACACTGGGTTCCTGGGTCTCGGTCCAAGCGGTGCATCTCTCACAAATCTAAAACGTTAGAAGGTAGCCAGACGGTGATAGGCAAGGACCAAGAGACTCACGATTTCCTCGCGGCGAAGAGCGGCCTTGCTGAAGTGCTCGCGGGGCTTGATGAGGTCGCACACCTCGCAGCGGTATTCCATCTTGGCACCGGCAGAATGCTCCTTACAGATCATTCCGCTGTGCGCGGGATCGACGTTCTCACCCTTCTCAAGCTGCCACTTGATATTCTTCTGCTGGTTGTTGGAGAAGTCGGCGAGTGGCTTCCACTCTCCTCCGACCTTGCATCGGAATCTGGTGGGAGCTGCTCCCTGGGCCCGGCTATGTGATGAAAGAATCAGTGGGGAGTCTTTTCGTGGTCGTCTGGGGATCAAACTCACGGTTTATAGCCCCCTTTGTTCTTGTTGGGCATGGTGGATGATGATAGTCCTTCGCTAACGATGGGGATGGATGAAGATGTTGGCCTGAAGATGCGAGAGAATGGTTAGAGAAGAGAGGAAAGTGTGAAAGAAGTGTGCGAGAAAAAGGAAGGGAATTTGTTTGTGGTGGAAGAGTTGAGATGCGAGAGGGAGAAGAGGGGGCGGCGGGAAGGTGCAGTGCAGTAGTGTTCTTGCTCAAGCACAAGCACACTCGAAGAGAAGTCGGCGCACGCAGCAGATTTTTGTAAGGAGTCTCTCCAACAGTGATTCAGTGTCACAGAGGCTTCTTTTTGCCACAGCTGTTATTCGTTTGCTGGGGGCATTTGCTGCGTTGCTCTCTGCCGCTTGTGCCACCACGGGGAGGTGCATACGCTATGGATTTGGCCTTGACTGCTGGATTCCAGTGATGGGCGGCTGCTTGCAGATTGTCCGTGCTGTGATGATTTAAATTGCTGTTTCTGGTACAGTATAGGTTATCTATCTCCATATAGGCATGGTGGCTGTTGGTTGCTCTATATGCCGCCGTCGGCCGCTGAAGATGCGATGACCTCAGATGGGCAATTTCTCTGGCACATTCTCCCTATTCAGACATGAATATGAATATGTTAAAACTCCCCAGTGTCTGGACATACCCCAAACCCCAGTCTGGGCGTAGATATACTGTTCTCTCATCGTTATCATCATTGATCCCAGGTTGTGGATGGAAGTAGTTTGGGTAACTGCTGAACGGCATCAATGATACACCACGTGTTGCGTGTGTAATCATATCCAATACTATAGGAAAATAGCATTCTATTCGAAAAATAAAAAAGATCCCTAGTTGTATCTTATTGGACAGCTACTCTCCATGCTGAACAGAGGTCGTCTTGCACCGACCAGATCCATCCTTATCAGTGAGGCTCAACGGCCGCAGATCCACAACCTGCATCATCCACGTGAGGCATCTCCCCAACCGTCACGCCCGAACTACTCAAGCCATCTGACGAACTACTCAAGCTGGCCATCATTTTCCAGTTACCGAGGCATCAGGCTCTATCAACACGAGACTCCATCCTCCTCCACCCTCACCGCTACCTACCCTATAGCATACCGTCAAAACGAGGCGTTCACCGCCCAAAGACCAACCCTTGGTTAGCTCGATGCACAAACCCCAGACGGCCACCTGGCATGCTTCTCGGCGACTCACGGATACCCTCGTCTATGGAACGGCGCCGCTCCGCCGGTGGATTCCATGGTCTCTCGGTGGCTTGGCTCGACCAACTACGCGACAGCACCGGGCTTCTGGCTGGGACGATGGATCCTCTTCGGAGGGGTCCTTGGGGAGGGACGAACGAAACTTGAACTTTGATGCAGGGCTGTGAGACAGGAGAGAATTCTGAGTCGGTCTGGCAGATGTGTGCTGCATCTACCCGGTCCCTCCGGGCTAGGCCATTGGTGTTTATGTTCAGGCTGGACGGGTTGGAGGCTGCAAGTGACCGACTCAGCAGGGAAAGCATGTGTGTGAACAAACACAGTGATTCTTCTTCATGCTGCAGTCACGCCATGTTGATGCAGTCATGTTGATATAGTCCTGCGAGGCCGGCACCGGGTACACTGACTATTCGCTGCCAGACTATTTGTCTACAAGAGAACAGACCTCCATCACCGACTTGACCTTGGCGAACGGCCCATGTGCGGTGGATGGGGAGAAATAGCTTCACCCACCGTACCCACTAGAGACATGCAGACGCAAGCTGAAGAGGGAATAGGGAGGGCAGGGTCCAGACCGCAAGAACCTCTTTTGATCAGAGATGGGTTGCGGGTTTTCCACTTCAGGATCAACCCATGGCTCAAGTCGACAAGAGTCATGCCCATCCTGGTTGATGGATCTGGGGTAACCGACGTTTAGACATGCACACGACTGCAAGCCCGCCGAAATCGTGCCAAAGCTAAATTCTCGACGAGGGCGTTCTACGAGACTCGGCATCATGAAGTTGGACGTTGGACTCTAGAGCTGAGACAGAAAGGCTGCCGAGAAATCGGTGCTCCGAGACAGTCCAGCTGGAGACGTTGCCCCCTTCCGAACCGGCTTCCTGGGTTGCTCAGCCTGCGATGCTCTATGACGGCTCACTCCCCTCTCCACCAGCTACATACAGCATCGGCTGAGATGGGGGTCAACTGGGGCCTTTGCCTTGTTTCTTCCGCTTTTGACCATAACAAAACAGATCGACGTCCCTCCGCAGTCGTGTCAAGCGCGTCTGCCAACGGGCATTGAATCAGTGACTTCACCACCACGACGATGCCGCAGTGACAGGTGACCCCAAGTGGGCTGGGATCGACCGCCAGGCTTTTCGAGGTGGACAGATGTTGCCACATTCGTGCACAATCCCACGCACAGCGCGGGTCTTTGCAGCGTCTGCCCCGGCCAATATCGAAATGCCAACTCAAAAAGTACTTGACGACGTACCGGTTGAGCGGATCTTCAGCAGGTGAGGCTCAGTCAATAGTCTCTCATCAGCGATGGAGGCGAACAGGACGCGTCAAGGGCCTTTGACGAACATGGGGCCAGATCTGGCCTTGAACCAGGCAAGGATTTCAGTCTCCAACCGGGACGAGTTGCCAGAGACCCGAACTCCAAAGGTGAGACCTTTTCACCCCTGAAGTGCTGATCAAGGACTTGGCGGGGAGGAAAAAGCATGAACGGTTCGATTCTTTCCACAGAGAGGCATGTACATAGAGACGAGGTCGAGGTCCGAGGACGAGACTCTTGACGGTGCGGTTCGGGCGCTGCGCTAGACTGGCTTGAGAGCTCGAGACGGCGCGAGTGGAGAACTACAGCACCACGGGGCGTCCCATCGGGAAGAACCCTTTTGACGGCTGCACTCCACAAGTGTCATGTCAATTGAACAAGTTTTCCTATAGCGTTGACCCAAGGCTGGGCCTCGTGAAGGAGAGGCTGGCTCTTTGGAGGGTGGCAGGAAGACAACCGAGGGCTGGGCATTGCTCGTGTGGCGTAGATTTGAGGCGTGAGTTTTTTGTGACGTCCATGCGTCGCTGCAAGGGCAGAACTGGCAAAAAGAAAGCACAGGAGAGAAAAAACTCGGATTGGTGAGTTGCTTAATTGCCAGTGTGACAGTGACAATTGGTGACGAGAGATGGGAGGGACGATGTAATGGCGACGGGCGTTGGAGCTACTGCAACTGAGCCATCACAATTAACGTCGAGGCACACATTTCAGGCACATCAAAGCACAATTTGGTCACAGATTCACAGATAGCAGAGACGCAAAGAAGCAAATACAGACCCACAAACGACGAGAAGATGAGAAATCAACGGCGGCAATCCCATCTCACAGCCTCGGTGCTTCTCCCAGTGGCCCCCATCAGATACGATACCACGTCCTTGCTGGCCTCAACTGTAATCCCACGCAGGGTTCTCTTATTAGACAATACTGATCCCTTCAGCCACCATCGCCAACCCCTCAAGCGGCCGGCTGGCAAATGCGCGAACGGGCCTGCCAGAGATCCTACGCGCCCAGTTGCTCGCATCATCTGTGCATGCGGCCGGCCGCTCAGAGGCATGCTGCCATGTCGCGCAGGGAGCTTCCTGGGCATTGTACCGCGATGACGCTGTCTTCTCGTCTTGCCACAGGCCGCAAGGTGACGTGAGAGCTTTTGATGGGAACTTGAGCTGGGGCTATATGGTCATCGCATAACATTCAGACCCCGCCTGCTCTCCCTCAGGTTCGACTCTGAGCTGGCCTTGTCAATGGGCTGCATGTTGCTGTGAGGCTGGGTGACAGGCGCGCAATTGGCAAGCATGCGGGCGGTTCCTGAGGAGCTGCCGCGTTTCATGACGGGCAGTCTGCCGTGTTGGGAGCGAGCAACCACTGACTTGAAGGGAGGCATCCAATGCGAGCCAGAATCAAATCAAGAGGGGGAGGGGGACAGACACCCAGCAGAAGGGGGGACAGCAAACGGCTCGCTGCGAGAAGGATCGACGCCTAGGGCATCCGCTGCGTTGGGGATCTGTGTTGAGCCAGGATAGCTCTGCTTCTCGAAGCTCTTGCCCAGCCCTTCCTGACACCGGGCAACCCGGGGGATGCTACGGTAGGTGTCATCGTGGAGAGCTCGTCTTGCGTTTTTCTGGCGTCCCTGGGATGGCAATCTCCGTTCCCCGGGCCCCTGTGTGTCCCTTTGCGCTGGAACCGATTCCGCGGGCATCGTGAAAAGTCCCAGGGTTCGGAGTAACTGCCTCGAAGGGGTACAAACGGCACGCACAGTATATCGTTATTCACGTCACGTCACGTATTGACAAAGACGGGCGGGCTGAGGGTGCGGGATGGATTGGATGAGACGGGACCCAAAGGGGGGGGGGTTTCAAGATGTCTGGTACCTGCAGCAGTCTCTGGAAGGTACCGAAGCCCACACGCATAAAGGCGCACAGCAGCAAGTACTCACCAGTGAAAGCCTGTCCATCCCATAGCAATTGGTCCCTGGCAGCGGCCCCACACTCCGGCCGTTGGCTCGAGGCCTGACCGACGCGACGGATTGGCGTCTCTTTTGGAAGAAGCAAAAGTACACCCAAAGATTTGCCGTGAAAGGAAGCACGAGATTGACATGGGGGAGTGAAAAATTCAAACTTGACCCGGTTTCCCCTGGGAATAGCTAGCCTGTTTCTTCTCGGTCGGGATCTGTACCTGGTTGTTGGTAATGGATTTGCCGCACTTGAACCCGTCTTGGGTCCGGAAGGACAACCCGTCTCTCTTCTCTGACAGCTCCGTACAGTACCGCATCGTGATATCAACTGTACCCATCAGTTTGTTCTGGCAACTTTTGTCACTGTTATATCTGATCCGAGTTAATGGACACCTGGACCCTGACGATGTCCTGCGTACCCCTGCAGAGGGAGGGCAGGAGATTGTCCAAGCACTCTCTGTGTGACAGAGTAAGAGCCGGGAAAACTTATTCTCGTGATCGACTTGGAAGTCAAAAAGGCTCCTGTGAGGCGGGGGGTTCACAACTCGGCAGAAATAATACAGCCGTGACACAATTCAGGTTTCTATACAAGCTTCAACACCACAACAACAGGTCAATAGAGTTTGTAAAATTTATAGGTGAAGCCTTCATGGCCACAAAATAGGGAGAATAAAGCTGTAATGGCCTCAACGGGATGCCGCTGAAGCATTAATAAAGCATCGAGCACCGAATAGCGCTATTACACCATGGCTCCCACTCCCACAGAAGCAACGAGCCCTCCCATAATGATTGACCTGCAGCCCCTGGAGGGCACTGGCAAGCAACTTCATGGAAATGGTGGTTAGTTATTTGTTTGCACTTTGCCAGGAATTGCAATGCTGGTGTTGTTCCTCTTTACTATGCCGCTTTTCGTCTGGCTCTGTGATCGTATAACCGTGGATCGACGTATGTGATAATCTTGAACCTCAGCCTTTCCGTTTCTGGTATCCGTATATTCTTCTTCCATATTTTCGTCCTCCAATTAATTAGAATGACCGTGCCATCTACTCCAGGTTCGACGAGAGGTTCCGCATAATTGCCGTATCCTCTTTCTTCATGTCCCTCTCATGCTCGGTTTTCGCAGTTGTACAAGGTTCGTTGCGAGATCTCAACGGATCGGTTCTCAAGTGTTAGAAGATGCCTGCTCCCAAGTGCGTGGTGAGTTACCTAACTGCCCTTATGGATTATAAACAAACGTGTAGAAAAAAATCAAAAAATCATAACCTGGAGCATTTCAATTCATCTTTACATTACTGAATTGTTCATCTTTAGGGGAGAACAAACCAATATCTTTGTTCTGGTACTCCATTTGCCCTGGACCCAAGTTGCTCTAGAACTGAAGCCGACGGTGCATGGCGACGTCAAATCCCTTGCATAACTCGCACTAACGGACTTTGTACACGTGTGTGGCAGGGGTTCGCGTGTTTCGAAAAAAAAGGCTATGCACCAAACCCATCGCCATCCATCTTTTATGTACTGTGCGCCTCCAACAAACCAGACCAAGCCGTCGCATGGAAATATTCCCACTTGCTCGCCGGCGTTGGCTGCTATCCCAGTCGGACTCTACTCTATTACTCGTTAACTGACTCCCACCGTGTTTCGTCATTCCAACGGCGGCGACGGAGCCCCCCTCCCCGAGGCGAGTTTCCTCCCCCTCTCTCGTGTTCCCCGTCCCCTCCCCCTTTTTTTTCTTCTTATTCCCAGGTCCCTGGACGGGATCGCAGGGCACGTCCCGATCAAGGGAAAGTGAAAAAGAGAGAAGAAGCGTCGAGGCTAGACAAGCAGTTTGATTACTTTTGCCCCCCCCGGCTGCCCCGGCCGCTGGAAGACGGCCTCCGCACGTACCAAGCAGCCAGCCCACGAGGGCTCTAAAAAGAGAAAAGAAAGAAGAAAAGAGTGGAGGGGAGGGCGGCCCCGGGAAGCCATTTCATGCGACCCAAGGCGCCGAGGCAGAGGAGGACCCCTTCAAGACCCGGCCACCAAGAAAAGGCTGGCTGCTT